TCTTGAAAGTTAAATTCATGAAGAATATTCTGTTTTGCTCAAGGGCAAGGAGAGCTGGGCCTGTGATGGCCGCATTACCTCTGCCTTCTCTCCTCACACATTCTTTGCTCAGTGAAGATGTATGTGATTCCATAGAAGCTGCGGGAAGGAAAACTGAAACAGGGRCTTATTTCAGGATGTTGGACTTGCCCACAGCCTGAACAGAAGAAGGAAAAAAGTTGAAGTGACTCCATCTTCATAAAAGATTTTGCTAATACGGTCCCATCTCATTTATCTGGAAATCTAGGAGACTACAAAATCCACTSAATATCTGCCCTTTGAAGGCAGCCTTTCAGTGGGCTTAGTGATGCAAAGGATGGGCTTTCTAGAGGGAGCTCTCAATCAAGGCATTACTGTGTATGGGTTTGAGGGATGTCTTTGCTTGCACTTCATACACGTGCTCATATATAGCATATATTACCCACGGACTGTGACATATTGCTAATTTGCTACCAGTCTTTCCAGCAAGTGTGCTGCCTTGTTCAGTGGCGGGATTTTGTCGTYGTGCTTTCCCTGCTAGTTCCCCGAKTCAGCAGGAATGGACTGCTATCATTTCTGCTATGTGCAAGGTCTGTCACATGTCCTTGCTATTAATAAAAGATGCAGCAGCAACAAGAGGAATAAACTTAAACAAAACAACTGCATGCTCAGCTTGTAAGCTTCTGTGTGAGGCTGCTATACAAATGACTGGTTGTCCTAATAAAAACAAAACAAAACAAAACAAAAAAACCCTTTCCTTATAGTTTTTTTATGAGTACAAATTGAAATACAGGAAGTTCCATCTCCATGTGAGGAAGAACTTCTTCACTGTGAGGGTGACAGAGCCCTGGCACAGGCTGCCCAGGGAGGCTGTGGAGTCTCCTTCTCTGGAGATCTTCCCAACCCGCCTGGATGCCGCCCTGTGCCCCGTGCTCTGGGTATCCCTGCGTGTGCAAGGGAATTGGACTAGATGGTCTCTAGAGGTCCCTTCCAATCTCAACCATTCTGGGATTCTTAGCTGTCACACAGGATGATCTACAGAATGTCTGGTGGATTGAGAGGTTTCAAGTATTTACCTGCCTTCAATGTAATTTTGAATCGTGCAAGCGCTTCTCCCATCTCTTGGGAGAGATGCTGGCTGACAGTGTGCTGATGAGGACGATGCTGCATCACAGCCAGTGAAAGGGTTTCTGCTGCGCTCTCTCTGGCTTGCTGCATAAGCCGGAAACCTGTGCCAGGAATCCCGACGAAGCAGAGCCTGTTTACTTTCCTGGAAACCCAGCGGAATCTGGCTCTCACTGCAGTGCCCCCCAAGCTCGCACCCAAGGAACACCCGCCTCATGGAGGGCAACCTCCCTTCCCTCCCCGTTCCTCCCTCAAATTCCAGCCATTTCATGTTCACAGCGGATGTTCACCGGGTATCGCTGGCTGCGACACCCCAAACTGCTGCACTCCTGTCGGGGTGCCCACGCGGCCTCAGCTCTGCGGCTGCTGGGGCGCTCTGCATGCTGAGCTCCAGCAGCCTAAGGCTGCACTCGCGCTGCGGGCTGCAGGCAGCGCCCGCCCCGGCCYCCGCCACTAGCGCGGCCGTCCGGCAAGGGGACATTGCAGGGCTGGTAGGCAAAGCAGAAAGGCACGTGCCTCTCTGCGGAAGATATGAGTCCTTTTCAAGGTGAATAAATAGAGGCCTGTAAAACAAACATGAACTTCGTATGGCCACGCTATCTGATAATTCTGTAGGGCTGTATATTTAGAAATTGTCTTTCTGTTTGGAGAAGTACCAGGGCTGTCTAGACTCCATTAATCCGGACTATCAGCAAGTTCAAAAGCAGCATGTGGTTCATCCAAATACACAAAATGTAGACGCCTGTACCAAAAAGAGCAAGCTGGTTTGCGGTGCACAATAACCATTTCTTAACCTATCCTAATTTTCTGAAACTTGCCATAATATATCTGAAAAAAAAAAAAAATCATTAATGACTTAGACTGGGCAATGCCATGATAATATTGGCAGAGAAGCATCTGAAATCACAAAATTTCAATTTCATAAAAGCACAAACACTTTTTGTTTATGTAAAAACTGGTTTCAAAGATTTCCCCTGTATCCTGTCTCTCCCGACAGCTGTGAGGGACCCAACACTGCACTGTGCAGCAAGGCCTCTTCCCAAGCAGAACTGAGACCCTCGGCAACTTGAGCATTTCCACCTTGGACCCAATTTCCATTTGGTGAATGGATATCAAGGCAGGGGTGTCCACAAACAAAAGCAGAAATAGCAGTGAAGGACTGCAAGTGAGTTATCCTTGTTTTATTAGGAATTAATGCTGCAATCAGCGAGAATCCAATCAATTGCAACATAGGGAAGTATAATGAAATGCCTAGAAAAACAGAACAGATACCTTGAAAAAGTGAATCTCTACCTACTATAATCCTTGATCAATAGTAAATAAAAAGGTTATCTGGCTCTGGAAGTGCTTGAGACCCAGATTAAAAGAAATGGAAAAAAACTCCTTATGGAAGGGTCATTAATGCTTATATATGGTGTTTTATATATATTACTCCAAATCTTTGTTATTGGTGATTTTGGGGGACAGGGTTCTGGGCCAGATAAACGTTTGACCACTGAACATGCTCTCATTCCGCCCTCGGGTTCTCCCRGTAAGTTTTTGAAATAATGAACGAACAGCAAAAGTTTGGTGGTGAATGGCAAGAAAAAGCAAATGAATCTTTTAGATGAGTGTGATTGTGATGACCAGCATCTGCCTGATTCCCTTAAATGTTTCTGCTCTGTGTGGTATGCAAACATAAAGGAAAGTACAATCTCTGTCCAAAAAAATGGAAGCCCGAGGAAGGTTATTTACAGTGTTTCTTTACATAGAAAAAAAAAAACCATGAGGTTTTTTGGCTGCTGCAGCTTTTAACATTAACTTTTAATCAACTACAAAGCATTCATTCTCTCCAATGCGCACRTACCCTTAAATAAGTGTTTAGACATAACAAATTCCATGAACATTGTTTCACTGCTTTAGCTTCATCTCAGAACTCAGACATCTCTTGGTGCATAACCCGTAAGTACTCCCATTTACTGCTACTCCACACCACATGATTTACTGTGAGGCACGGTGAGGGACGGTGAAGCTAAGCTGCCTTTTCCCCCGGCAGGGCAAGGGAGGAGCGTGCACGCAGTGAGTAAGCAGCAGCTACCCTGGCTTGCCTGACCTACTCACCTGCCACAGTTCACTGTGCGCTTGAGTCCTGAAATGTGGACTGCCTAGAGGGGCTTTCGTGCTTCTCCCTCACCTCCCTTCTCACTTGCCTCCACCTTTTCCGTTATGGATTGCACAAGAAAGCAACTGGCAATCCCAATTCCACTTCCAGCTTTCATCAGTACACGGAGGTAACACAGCCTCTTAAAATCCTGCTTCTGGGATCCTCCCTCTCTCTACCTTTACTACCTTTAAAAAGAAACACCTCGTTTCTTCTTAAACAGAGAGAAGAAACCATCATCAGTCTCTCAGATTGGTAACAGCAGCTCAAAGAAGCAGCTGCAAACAAGAGGTTTTGCCTTAAAGATTAGATCTTACAGTGTATATTTACTCCAAAATCAGGATAAACATAATCAGAGTGCTTAATATTAAAAAAAAACCCACAAACTGCCTCTAGTGCAGTTCTCAAAACATAGGATAAAAAAACAGACATTTCAGCAGCTCCTGTTAATTATTTAGACCAATATCCTCAATTTGACTTAACCCCGGGAATTACCGAAGAGTTTCATACTGCAAAGTCACAACTTATTTCTAGGGCGGCCTAACATCCGCATGCAGCAGAGCATTCCCGCTGATACCAGATGCTCGAGGTCAAAATCAGAGGCAAATCYAATCAAGTATAATTCATATCCTAATTCCTTTGGAATTTAGGTTATATTGAAGATTCCAAACTCAGACAGTCTGAGATGAATATTGCTTGTCATGCAATTTTTATCTGCTTACACATCCCCTCTGCATTTTCCCCAACAGACTAGAGATCATTYGAAAACTTCAGTACAATTGAAAATGTGTCATTTTAGCATTTTAGCCTTCTTTATACTTCTTCTTGAAGAGAGCTTGCTGTTTTGCTACAGACCTCAGTCTTTCGGGTTCCCTATTTCTGTTACCAATGAAGAGCTCATGTTTATTAGGGGCAATTGGAGGTCATAAGTTCCATTTACACTGGCTCATGGTGACTATTTTAAAAGAGGAAGGACATGAATGATCATACTTATTTTGGACAGGAATTTGGGACAGCCATGTCTGGAAATGTTGTCAACTTGGGGCACAGTATATACATAGGTATATAGGTCTTCACATATGAGAATTCATTATTTGCATACCTTGCTTAAAAAGAGGCAGGAGTGGTGGAAAATAGTTACACTATATTGCTTCAAATTCCCTGGGCATAATATGAACTACAAGGAGAAACTCCATTGAAATCAGTGTAGTAACATCCAAGTACATCAACCTGTAGTTACAGCAACACAAAGATTAGAACCATACCCTTTTTGTCTCTGAATCCACCTAAACCTGGAGCAAGCTGGACCCATCATAACATTTCCTTTCCAATTAAGAATCAGCACGAGTCTTCCTGGAGTTAATTACGTCCTCAAATTCAGGATTTTAAAAACACCATATTTAAAGTTAATACAGCTTATTGCTCACAATATAGTCCCAATAGTCGATGGCCTTAATACTTGCTTATAGGAGTATTTAAAAAAATGTAAGTAATGCAATATCCACAAAATGTATGTGCGGGGAGAAACTGTGGTTTGTTACTCCCTAACAGTTTCCAGTTAATCCTAGTGCATTCCAAATTTTTGATAAAATTCTCAGCCTTTCCTGAAGGACATTGTGAGCATGGTAGAGTCCAGGGTGTCCTGTCCAACTTAGACAGTTCAAATCTCTTTCTGGAGTGGCTGAATTGTGCTATATTAGACTGGAAAAATACTTACGTTCCACAAAGTAAGAGCTGGCATCAATCTTCCAGATAATCTGACCACGATGAGAGCCGTTGACGCCACGATTCTTGTAGTCCAAAAAGTTTTCAGACAAGACCTCATCTGCAAGCAAAGAAAACAGTCTCATGAGCTGCCTGTTAAGACAACACGCGTAAGCAGAGAGCCAGACTAAGAATATGCCTTTGGCTCAACAGAACATACTATAGCTGCTAGACAGCTTGGCACCACATGTTGAGGAATTAGTTTTTTTCCTACTCATTTCTATTTTAAACAAATACAGCTCTTAAAATTACAGCTTCTCTTGAATGTAATTAAAATATATGTCCCTGCAAAACTCTCAAAAACTGAAACATCTAGTATAGCATGGATCAATCAAAAAACATTCGTTTAGCTGGAAGAGAAAATGACAGCCAAAAAATAACCCCGCTTTGCACCAGTTCTTCCCTTAAAATCCATGCAGAATAGATACATTCAGGCATTTTTACTGACATTGCTATTGTCCTAACAGATTTCTTGCAGTACACAGGGAARGTTATTTACTTCCAAGAAGAATTCCACTAACGGAAGAAGAATTCCACCGAGTCCCTTCACAAAAAGCACGGAAACAGCTCCCAGCTTTCAAAGCCCAGTGCCCGACAGGGAAATGCTGTCTGCTCGCAGCACCTTGAGAGACCAAGCAGCTGTCTGACTGCTGAGCTGATCTTCAGTGAATTCTGTATCAATGAGTAACCTGTAGGAAGACACTGAAAGCTTCGAGTTTGAGGGCAGAAAAAGCAGCTTCCGTGCCTGCAAAGGGCTGTGGGTGAATAAAAGCAGGCTGGGCAGTGAGTGTGAAGAGTGGCCTTCTGGTTGGCCGCATAACTACAATTTTTGCTTGTTTCCCGTTTTCATTTTAGACTGATCCGCAAGCCCTCTGCAGCACAGGTGYGAGCAACCCACCCGTCCCAGCCCCAGGCCCGGGCCTGCTCCCTCACCCTCATTTATTCAACAGTGTAGAAGAAAACTGTCGTGGTCCTCAGAGCCATCCTCCTTTTCTTGTGAGCTTACATTGCCTTTCAACAACATAAAAAGCAGGTGTCGCCACCATACCCAGCCAGTACTCGAGGTTTTGAGTGTCAATAAACAGAAATAGTGCAAATAAAGGAGACGTGGACCTACTGCTCAAGGGGAGCGGGGCTCTCGGGCACCGGCCACGCTTCACAGAATCACAGAATGACAGAATCACAGAATCACAGCATGTTTAAAGGTTGGAAGGGACCTCTAGAGATCATCTTGTCCAACGCCCTGCTCCAGCAGGGACACCCAGAGCACGGGGCACAGGGCGGCATCCAGGCGGGTTTGGAGGACCTCCAGGGAAGGAGACGCCACAGCCTCCCTGGGCAGCCTGTGCCAGGGCTTCAGCGCTCGCGCACTCAGCGGCTGAAGCAGCTACCCGGGCCGGGCCGCTCTTCCCATCTCGGCCGCGTTATTCAAGCTTCGTGGCGATGAAATGGGTTTCCCATCAGGGAATTATCAGAGCATTTTGCCACGTGAAAGGCGGCATTCTCTGTCGGCAGCGATCAGCGAGCAACCTCCTGGATTTTTGCCTTCGGCGCTAAGGACGGCCCTGCGTTGAACAGAGACTTGTGCAAATGCCTTTTAACCAAGTCAGCCTCGCTGCTGAGAGCCCTGGAYGGTTGCTGAAATTCTGCTCCCGAGACAGCGACGCTGATTACTGGTCACAGCAAAAGTGAAGACAAAGGGCCAGCCACTAAACCCTGGGCTAAAACACATTAACTACCAACGCAGCGTAATCTCAGGGCTCAGCGGGGAAACAAAAGGACCAAGGACACTGCGTGAGGAGGCGTTTGCACGGTGACAAAATGGCGCGCGGCGCGGAGAGCCCAGAGGCAGCTCTGAACAAGGGCCGGGACGCGCGGAGCGGCGCCCACGGACGTGGAACCGGCACCAGGCCTCGCTCCTGACGCAACGGGGCTCGTCGGAAACTGAGCGTGTGCTCTCTGACGCTCGGTGACTTATTTTGAGCTTAAACAAGTCCCGAGGGTGGAAATYCGGTCATCAAAAGAACCGAGCAGTYGAGTCAAGCCACCTGCCTGAGGGAGAACTGGGTGCCTGCAGGCCCCAGTCAAGGGGCACACGGGATGAAGATGAAGAGGAGGCTGAGGGGGGACCTGATCAGTGTCTATAAATACCTCAAGGGAGGGAATGAGGAGGAGGGGGCGGCCTCTTTTCTGTGGTGGCCASCRATAGGACTAGAGGAAACGGCCACAAACTCAAGCACCAAAAGTTCCCAAGAACTTAAGTTTCTTAACAGTGAGGGTGACAGAGCCCTGGCACAGGCTGCCCAGAGAGGTTGTGGAGTCTCCTTCTCTGGAGATCTTCACAACCCGCCTGGACGCAGCCCTGTGCCCCATGCTCTGGGTGACCCTGTGTGTGCAGAGGGGTTGGACTAGATGGTGTCTGAGGTCCCTTCCAACCTTAAGGATTCCCTGATTCTATGATTCTGTGTCACCTGRGTAGGTCCAAACAACTGAATGTTTTGGGGTTTTTTTTTCCAGCAGAAGGAAAGTAATGGGAAAGAGAAAAGGCATGTGGCTTTTTGAACAGATTTATATTCCATGCCTATAGACATGGGAAAAAAAAAAGGATAAACTAATATGCTGATGGATTAATTTACTTCAGAATGCAAGCAGGTATCTGCAGTGTAACTCAGCAAAAGTTCATCTCGCACTTGGTGCTTGCTAACAATATGGAAAGGAAAAAGGCAACTAAAAACTTAAAATAAACATTTAATGTATTTATTAAATAGGTTAAACTAAGGTTAAACTTCTAATGGAAGAGAACTAAACCTTCACTGAAAGAAAAAAGGAGCAGGCAGATACCAGCGTTATTCCTTTGGTTTTCCATAATAGTGTTCTCAGAGGAGGAAGATAACTGGGCTACCAATACTAAACTCTTTGGAGCCACTCTCTTGAGGGATTTACCAAGGAAATCCTTTTAAAGAGGTCATTAATGATTGCAAGGGATAATTATAAATGGCAATGCTATCTACAATACGTTTCCCTTTGCTGACTGGCTAATTGTCAGTAATTATTTCACTAGCTGGGTTTCATCCTCTTCATAGTAGTGGAAATTTTTCAGCACATTCACGTCCTGTATTTCTGTAGTAACCTTTCAACAATAAAATGCTTTGGTATGACTTCATCTACATTTCCTAGTTGATTTTGTTTTCTTTTAAATGTAAAATTACGTATTTAAAAGGCCACAAAAGTACACAGCTTTCCTTAGAGCTTTGGCTTCCTGACCATTACTTCAGCAAAGCACCTGGATACAGACTATCCAGAAATAGGAGCCCTACATCTTTTCAAGCCTGTGAACTGGCCCTTTTGCTCTGGCAGGGAAAACACTCTATATGTCAGGGTGAGCCTATAGGAAGATGCTGTGCTGAGCTGGATGCTGGGAACCCCCACGAGCCCCCCTCACCCTACCAGGGCACAGAGAAATGTTGGCTATTCAGACACACTGCTCTCCAGCTTCATCACTCGTGGCATCTCCTTGTCGTACTCAGCCTTTGCAAAATGCTGAAGACGCTCTAATCCGTGCCAGGCCATTCGGGGTAATTGCTGCTTCTCAAGACACTCTGTTCATAAAGCACTGCGCTCGTTTGAAGAGGCTTCGCTGAGCTAAACTGGGCGGCTTTGTTCAGGAAATAGCAGGCATTTGAGGCCACGGTTTAGTGACACCCGGGATCCCAGAATCAGCTGAAAAGAGCTGTGTTCGTGCACACTATTTGTTGGGCCCAGCTGGCATGTACACAGGATTGGTGACTGCCCATCTCCCCACAGCTGGTGTAAAGGCAGCGCAAACTCTGCACTCCCTCATGTGACAGACACGTGAGCGTGGGCACACAGCAAACCAAGCCACTGGAGACGGCTGCAGGAAGTGCCTTCCTCCTTCATGCAGGAAAGGGGCAGGAAAACTTGGCAAACAAAGCCAAGAAAGGGGCTCTGCATGTGCAGTGCTCTCGGTGTGAGAACGAAGGAGAGGGAAAAGCAGGTCTGTCTGCAACTGTGAAGGGACAGGATCAGGGGAGGAACAAGCCAAGCAACGTCTGCACCCTGTCTCCTGCCATGGAGAACAGAGAAAGTGGCGGCAAAAAGGGAAGTATCCAAAGGAAAAGCTCAGCATTTTTTGGCAGCAAAGGGATGGACACGGGCACGCACCTCCTCACACACGCACGCAGGTTAGAAACGTTGCAGAGAGCGGCCRCTCATGGCGTGTACGTCAGGAAGAACAAGAAGTGTCTTAACATGAATGTGACGTGCCCCACGACACGCAGGCCACAGATCATAGAATCATAGAGTGCTTAAGGTTGGAAGGGACCTCAGAGGTCATCTAATCCAACCCGGCTGCACATGCGGGGACACCTAGAGCATCCCAAGCAGAGGCTGAGGAGTATTTTTAGCTATCACCTCCCAAATGCTATCCATTTATGTATGTTACGAGAAAAACATACGCCTTGAGGCTGTTTCTTTCAGCTCTTCCAAAATGAGGGAACTTGTTGACAGAAACTTGGATGTTCAGAGCAAGAACGGGACAAATCTATAATTAATGCAAGTAATACATACATACAAAGGTCATAACTTAAGAAATCCCTGCACAGGGCCTTCTCACAACCATCACTGTCTCTTTGGAAAAGCTAGGTATCACCTCTTTCCAAAGAGGTGATGAACTTCTTCCAAACAAAACTTATTTGTACTCCCCCAGAAATGTCGGGTATCGGGGATTTCAAGATTTAAACTCTAGAAAAGCACATGCAGAAGCAAAAAGCAAACCTTCCTTATTCTTGTTTTCTTTTGTTTAAGGATACATATTTGGAAGGTGAAAGAAAGGAAAGAATGATTTCCTGGCAAGTTAAAAAATAAACCAGGAAGGAGAAAGGGATGTGAGAATGTATTCTGTGGAGCTGCTTTGGCTGGCAGCTAACAGGATGCCAGGGGTGCTCTTCCCTGAGCAGGGACATAGAGGTGGCACATCAGCCAAAAATACTGTACAGGTAAATCACCTCTTCCTATGCAAAATATACAGCTGTGCAGTATGCT